GAAGGAAGGAGGGAGAGAGGGAAAGAAGGAGAGAAAGAAGGAAGAAGGCAGGCCATAATCCTCGTCCTTAAGGTACACCATGTGAGATTGGGGAGCATATGTTAATGTGCCAAAAGGCAGCTGGAGGATATTATGAACCATGCTCGTTTTTGGGAGGCACTTTAGCAATGGGAATGGTTAAAGTTCAAGATTAAGAGAAATCATTCCAGTGGACATTGCACTCCAGGTAGTCATCTGAAACCTATCTCCTTTAGAACGTGTAAACTTTTTCTCATAGAATACAAGATTAGTAAATTATGATATCTTCAGTAGTCTGGAAATATCAGAATGCCACAGTAGTGGCTGTCCAAGAACATGACTAGAGAAATACTTTAATCTCCAGGCCACTTGGATAGAGACAAAGCATCTACTGCCTACTCCTCCTACTCCAGCCACATCCATCACAGTAATTAATCAGAATTAGTGATCTTTCTGTTGAGGCAATATGAGCTGACATCTAATTTTACTATATAGGTAAATTATTAGTTCATGCCAGAACAAAGAGAATGGTCATTGTCACTGATATTTCATTACCCTACACAATAAAAAAGGCCATTCATAGGCTACATGTAGGATTTTCATGGGACTCCAGGAGTTCTTGGATCTCATTTTGAGAACCACTATTCCATTGTACTTTATGCTGGTGTTTCATTGGAAAGTATACGTATGGGATATATAGATGGAAAGTTTATGTGTCTAGTAAGGTCAGAGATGGAAACTTGAGGTGTGCAATTTTCAGGAAAATTTTAGGAAAGTTGCAGGCTAATATGTTCACACTTTACTCACTAGTTTGCTTGAAAATGATTTTTGATCAGGATGGATTTTTTTTTTTTGGAAAGTGTAGGAAGCTGCTTTTTTCCATCTGTGATATTCAGCACTTTAGCCATATACATACAGTTTTATCAGAGATGCTTAATCGTTTTTTGGTTTATTTTTCAAGAAGCCTGAAAGGAGTTTGGGCTTTCTATGACTTTTGGTAAATAAATATGCAATTAAGGGACAGTCCACCTCATTTAAAAAGGTTTTTTTTGAGAGAGCATATTTACTAGTCTCTATTTCCTATTTTTGTCATCAGTGGAATAGTCTCTGGGCACATGAATAACACACACACACACACACACACACACACACACGCGCGCGCGCGCGCGCTCCTAGGGGCATCCTCCCCTACTGTGACATAAAGTTTAGGAGTTTGTATTCTACTTGCCTCTGGTTGAAATACTGGTTTCAAAAATAATGAAACAAATAGAGGAATCCTTAGATTTTACTTTATATAAGCACACAGCAAGAAAGATAAGCTTAATTTTTAAAATGGTGATGATGTGGACTAGATTTCCTATCCAGCAGGAAAATGTATAGCATGAATAAGATGCCAAGAAATAAACCAATAGGGTACCATGTATGAATTGTTTTAAATGGGGAAAATATTCTAAAGGACTAATAAGCCATTATTTCAAATGCCTGTGTAAATATAGTTTAGTTCATCATCACCTTTTCCAATTATGTTTACGTTCAGCTCCAAAGTACAGCCTCTGCTTCCTTGTTTAAAATGCCACCAACAGAACTAGCATTTTCATTAATACAAACATTTACAGTGCCCAGAAATGATGGTGGAAATAGAAATCTTTTGTTATTTTAAACTAGATGTACCTCAAAGAGGTGCCCCATTAACTTTAGCTTAGCTTTTAGAACAAAGCCATTTAAAATATTACAATTTTTAGGTTTCTCATGAAATGTTCATGTTTCTATAATAATAATTATTATTATGTCTACAAAATAATATCACTTTATTTCTGAAAAATATAATTTGCATACCTAAATAGATTAGGGATTAAATCATAGTTTTAAAAATTAATATGATTTAAACACAATTTTTATTTTTATTATTTTGGAAACTTAAAATTTTTTTAGGTACAGTGGACATATTATATTAGTTCCAGGTGCACAGCATACTTATTAGACATTTATATACCTTAGAAAAGTGATCATCCCGATAAATCTGGTACCCACCTGACACCATATATACTAGTAGTTATTACAATATTATTTACTATATTCCCTATTCTGTACTTTAGTTTCTTAATAAAAAACAAGTTCTTTTTCAGGTCAGTTATCTGGAAATATACCTAGATCTTTGTTTTGATTGAAGTTAACCACTGAAGTTAACCACCGAACATTATTGTACAGTGGTTAAGAGCAAGGCCGTGGAGAACACTGCCTGTGTGGGAAGCTGAGCTTCACTAACTAACCACCTGCAGGAGTGTGGGAAGCTGCTGTACCTCTCTGTGCCAGTGTCCTCATTTGTAAAGTGGGGATAATACTAGATCCTATCTCAGAGGTTTGTTGTGAGGATTAAATTAGCAAATATTTGCTTGAGAGAACAGCGAAATAAAAGTGTTTATTCTTGCTAATAGGGCATTTCACAATAATAAACAGAAGTCAAGAAGGAATAAAATGAAAAATATGTAAAGTAGGGCCCAGCTCAACAGAAAGAAGCCTTTGCAAGTGCTAGACTGAGAAGGACACCTTGACACCTTTGGTCCACTCCAGGAGCCAGGATATTATGTGTAAATATTATTGTGTCTTCCTTATGTAGGCGTATTTCCTTCACAACACCCAAACATAATGTTTTTAACATTTAAAGATCATCAAAAAGATAATGAAGAATAATGAAGGGCTGAACTAACTGCCTTCTGCTTTGACCTTCACTTCTATTGTCCAGGGTTCTCTAGTTTTCAAAGTTGATATATCTGGCATTTGAGTCTTTTTTATGCCCATCTTTAGCTATTGGCTCATTTGGTCATTCTTTCTGATGTTTCTAATTTAGTCCAAGCATGGATCATCATTACCTTTCTTCCTTGTCCGCTACTCTTTGCTGCTCTTTCTGCTGTTCACCCTAATTCCCCCTTTCCCATACTAAAAAATAATATTTAAAGGAATATGTGCTGTCTCACCACACCTGGTTGCTTATATCCACCGCCCTGCTTCTAACAGCATAGGAGCCACACCATGTGCCATTGGAATGAATGATGGTTACTGCCCTTTTAGCTCTTGGTGGTAACAATCCTAGTTGATTCCTCACCTACACCTCTAAATCAAAGTAGGGAAGGAATGGTTTTATGGTACAATATACCAGTTTAAAGATATTGGTCTGGTCTTACTGCTTGAAGTTACAGGTTAGAAAAAGAAAGAACCATATATCTTTGGGTCTGAACTGGTGACCTAGACATGAGTTCCAGCACCTGTTAAATACCCCAGAGCTATTCTAGCCCTTACAGTGATTTCTCACTGCTGGTTTGAAAGCAGATGGCAAGGAGGAGAAAAAGAACACACTGAAAACCAAGCATGAACCAAAGACCTTTAGAAAATCACTCTAATACTTGCCCAACCATGCTCAGTGGGAAGACTTGCTTTATTGAATCCATACTTTATTGGAATGACTTTTCAGAAGACACACTGTTTAAAAAAATCCTTGCTCAGCAGAAAATATTTTAGATAATGGAAGGAAGAAGAGCCAAAGATGGTGATTATTCCATGTCCTCATCACTTTCTTTGTCCCTTTTTTCACCAAAATTGAAACAAAGTACCATGGAAGGCAGAATGTGGTGGCATAATGGAAACGAAAATCTCTGTAATAAGCAATGGGGTCAGAGTGCGGGTCCAAGGTCTGTTACGTGAGAAAGCTATTTTTCTCTATGAATGTCAACATCTATTCATACAAGAAAGTAATAATATCTGCCTCACAGAAATGTTATAAAGATAACTTTGTATATTGAGATAGTAATATTGGACATGATTATTGTTTTCTATTAGCAATAAATAATTTTGATGGTATAGATCTAAACAAAGTCCCCAAACCTCGTTTTATATCAAACTAGATGTATGATTTCCTTGTTTGTTTGTTTTTCCTTTTATTCTAGAAGTTCATAATCTTTACATCTTCTGGGATGCAGTACATGGAGTGCAAAGAGCTCAAACATTGGAATATGAGAGATCTGAAGTCAAACTCTGGTTAGGCACTCTGAATTAGCGACAGTCAAGGCTCTCACCTTTGGTTTTCCTTTCTGTAATATGGACTGAAATCTATTTTTTCCGGGTTGTGGAGAGAATTGGTGATAATGTTGAAGGTACCTAGCCTAGTGAATAGTTCACAGTAAACAACCATTATACTACAGGATACTTTTGTTTTTTTATGCCTTCATATTTTCATCTACACATGGGTTTGCCTTTGTTCACAATTACTTTATAGGCCCTCAAGTATTGTGCTTGATGGACAGTAAATGCTGATAAGATTGTACCTTGAAAAGGATGAGTCATTTGGATTGATAAATGATTAAATGGTAATATGGTGGGCTCAAAATTCTTTTTTGTTCAGATATTCTAACTAGAAATTCTTTAGAAACTCAAGTTCCTGAGGAATGTGAACATTGCTAAAACATGGTTACTGCCTTTAGGAAGCTTACATCGTAGCAGAAGGTATTCCTTTCACTAATATCTGTGTCTAAACAAAAACTTGTCTTTGTATGGTGACTGGGCTATGAAGCAAGAAAAGCAAAAAGGCTTTCAGAGATTAGAAAGAAGTCTTTGAAGTCATCATTCTGTCAAAGGGGATGGGTGATGGGTAACAGAGTGAGGGGGCAGGAGGAATTAAAATCTGTTAATCGTATTCAGGCACAGTACCAGGCAATTCACATTCGTTGTTTTAGTTAATCTTAAAACTAGCCCATGAGGTGGGTTGAAAATGTTGACTTTATGGTTGAAACAATTGGTAATCTCAAAGAGGGCAAGAACCTTTTCTAAGATCACATACCCTTTGAAGGTTGAAGATGGAATTTCAATTATTAACAGGAGTGGGGTTAGAAAGTGGGTTTTGTGCAGTTCAATAGAAAATTTCTTAATCTGAGTGTCTCACCTTCTCTAAAAATTTCTCATTTTATCTCCTGGATTTTCTTCTTCCCTTATTTGTTGGGACCAACAATGAGTTCAATTCTAGATTTTGAAATGCTCTGGTGAGGGTTACATCCATTCTTCCTGTGCACATAGCCCAGAGGGCTCATCTTATGCTTTAACCTGCACACTTATAGCAAGAAGAATCAATAGCTATTTCATATGTGCTAGTGGTTAGTATTCAATGAAAGGAAACTCAGCCAACATTTTTAAATCATATAAATGTGGTACAGACTATATCACAATTGAAAAATACTACTCAGTCATTTATCCTTTTATTTTAAAAAAATTAGTATTTAATGCCCCCCTTCCCAGTAAGTCACAAAACTTTGTACAAGCATACCTCAGAGACAATGTGGGTTTGGTTCCAGGTAACGATAATAAAGCAAATATCACAATAAAGCGAGTCATGGGAATTTTTTGGGTTTTCAGTGCATGTAAAAGTTATGTTTATGCTATACTGTAGTCTACTAAGCGTCTAATAACTTGTCTAAAATCAATGTATGTACCTTAATAAAAATACTTTATTGCTAAAAAAATAAAATATTTTTATTAAGGTACATACATTGATTTTAGACAAGTTATTTCCAACATCTGAGCCTGTTGGAAAAAATGGTGCCAATAGACTTTGCTCAACATAGGGTTGCCATAAACCTTTAATGTGTAAAAATAGCAATATCTATGAAGTACAATAAAGTGAAGAGCAATAAAACGAGGTATGCCTGTAAAGCTGTCTTAGGTAATAGGAACAGTCAGCCATGAGTACCGGATTACAGGGTTTAGCAGAAAGGATATTTTTCCCTATGTGTCAACAAATCTGAAGATGAATAATCCAGAATAAAAAAGGGTAAAGGTGTGAAGAGATCAGAAATCTGTCTCCTTTGTGTGTTTGTGGCTAGAACACTTAACATGAGGTCGATCCTCTTAACCAGAGATCTATCCTATTAACCAGAGATCTACTGTATAACTGAGTCTGTCTCTTCAAAGAACAGTCAGTGAAGCCCCACTAGCAGCTTCACCTCACATCTCGTTGGTCAGAATCTATTATATGGCCACTCCTAGGAGCATGGAGAACTGTGTTATGGTTTGGAATGTAAAAAATTGAAAGAAAAATATTACCAGTGAGATAGAAAGAGGCCTTTTTAGAATGTCAAAAATTTAGTTTCTCAGTCTCCATGATAAAGAAAAACAAGGTAGAAAAGGGCAATAAATGGCTTTGTGGACACTATCAGCTCATCTACAGTGTCAGGCACAGGAAGCTACTGGTCTTCCCTGGGCTGTGTTTGATGCCAGAGGGCATTCTGCATCTACTGCTTACTGTGAAACTGCATTCATGTTTCTTGACCTCTGTCAAGCTTAGCGTCCCTGTTTATAATACAAACTAGTGGCCTGGTGCACGGATTCGTGCACATTGAAAGGAAATTAATTAGAAGGTGGCCGGCAGGGCAGAACTGGACGAGACAGGCCAGACACACCCTGGAGATGTCGGTGGAGTGAGTGGGGTCCCTCTGGTAGGTGGGGTACCTCGGCCTGGCCTGGGGGGGATCAGGCCAAAACCAGCTCTTTGACATCCCCTGAGGGGTACGGATGTGCAAGAGGGCATTCTGTGAAGTTGCTGTCATACAGTGTGTGGAATGCAAACGCAAGTGTGCAGCAAACCAGATTTGGGGCTGACAGTGCCTCAGAAACAATATAACCCACGGCCAAAGGTGGAATTATACAGCTCTGCGAGGAATCGGGCTCCCTCCTCTCTGGTTTCGGGGTGCATCACCCAAGAACCGCCGCTGCCATGTCACTGCAGCTCGGCAGCTCCTGCATTGAGTGTCTGCCTCCTGGTGGTCAGTGCACATCATAGCGACCGGTTGGATGGTTAGACACTTAGCATATTAGCCTTTTATATAGAGAGATATAACTACAGAGCATATTTTAAAGTACTCTTGTGACCATTTTATACTGATGAGTGTTAAGTGCTTGACAGTGCCTGGCACATAGTAAACTGTAATAAATATGAACAACTTTAAAAATAATAATCATTGCTATTATAAAGTATAACACTCATACTAGTACTTCTCCTTGACTAGCGTGAGCCT